TTTTTATTTTGAACCTTAAGCTAAAGATCTCTGCAGTTTCTTTCAGAATCAGCGTTCTAAGGGTCTGACCACTTCCATCCCAGTAAAATATGATGGCTATCTGTTAACTCCTATGCTGTCCTTCAGGGCCATCTTAGCTTTTCAAATTGACTTCCAGTCATAGATGGGAGAAAACATAGATGGGAGAAAAATAGACATTTAAAAAAATGAAGGCCAGGCTTGGTGGCTCAGTCTGTAATCCCAGTACTTTGGGAGGCTGAGGCGAGTGGATTGCCTGCGGATTCGAGACCCACCCGGGCAACTTGGTGAGACCTCATCTCTACAATAAATAAAAAACTAGCTGGACATAGTAGTAGTGTGAGCCTGTAGTTCCGGTTACTTGGAAGGCTAAGGTGGAAGGGATCTCTGGAGCCCAGCAGGTTGAGGCTGCGGTGGCTGGGAGCATGCCACTGCCCTCCAGCCTGGGTGACTCCGACTCAAAAAAAAAAAAGAAAAGAAATAATGCCGCACTGAACATTCTTAGGGAGGGAGGATTCTCAGAGGTAGATGTTCCTTTGTTTTAGATGCTTCTTTGATGGGCTTTTTGGTAATGAGAGGTAAGGTCTGATGGGATTGTTTAGATGGCAGAGAGGAGACAGAGATGGAGATGGAGGCGGAGTGTTTTGCTCAAGAAAGTTAAGGTGTTTGGGCATGCTTTCCTGTTACCTATGGAGACAGGTGGCTAGGACAGGCTATAGGGTTGAGGGTCCGGAGGGAGGGGAGGCGGCCTGGGTTCATGGATGGTGGCCTGAGCAGCCATGAGACACTTCACCCCCCTACCCCACACACTTAGATGGGCCCAATGCTTGGTTTAAACCCCTGCAGTTGCTGTCTTGAAATTCTTTTTTTTTTTTTTTTTTTGAGTTGGGTCTCACTCTCAACTCAAAACAGCTTCACTCAGACTGGAGGACAGTGGCATGATTATGGTTCACCATAGCCTCCGTCTTCTGGGCTCAGGTGATCCTTTTGCCTCAACCTTCTGAGTAGCTGGGACTACAGGCATGCACCACCATGCACAGCTAATTTTTATTTTTGTAGAGACAAGGTCTCGCTATATTGCCCAGGCTGGTCTCGAACTGCTGGGCTCAATCAATTCTCTCATCTCCGCCTCCCCAAGTGCTGGGGTTACAGACGTGAGCCACCATGCCTGGCTTGAGATTCCTAAAGGCCTCACATTTTCATTGTATACTAGGTCCTGCAAATGATGTAGCTTGTTATAAAAAAAAAAGATGCAGACAATGATATAATAGTAAATGCTAAATGACCAACTCTGAAAGGAAAACTGGCTTGCAGCCTTTGCCAATTCCCATGGCATAAACACTCCTAGCTCAGCCCATTTCAAACTACCCAAAGATTGAATAACCAGCTAGCAAAATTCTCAAAAATTTAACAATCAGCTCTTGCAACCTGGAACAAGCTGGCTCTAACCAATCTCTGGATGCAGGGAGAGGGTCTTGGTAGAGAAAGAGGTTAAGAACAACAACAAAATGGCATGTGGGAGTGTGAGTGTGAGCAGAAAAGTCAGTGTGAAAAGAGGAGACCAGTGACAAACGCTCCCAGCAGGAAAGGCTAGGTGACATGAAGGCAGGTGTCGTTTCAGTAGTGGAAGGCCCTCCATTCTGTTGCATACCATGGCCTGTGTCCCAGGGCTTGGGGACGTAAAAGGAGGCACCACTGTTGAGTAGCCATTGGGCTTTGGTGGACATTCTGGCTCTCTTTCTTCTTGGACATGGTAGTGTATTTCCCAGATTCCCTGAAGTGACCTGCTTTGTCCACAAGGATATGTGTCAGGTATCATTTCATTGGTCCTGTTCCTTTTTCCTCTCATATGACTGAATTCTTTGACTGTGGAAGCCCTGTGGGCCTGTGCCCCGACCCTTGAGTGAGGGTATTGCCAAATACAGTCTTTAGCAGAGCCCACAATGTGAGTGAGTAAATCTGTGGTTTAAAGCCATCAGATCTGGGGGTTGTTTGTTACTGCATCATCATCTGGCGCCTCCTGACAGACACAGATCAAGGGGCAAGGGGTAGTGGGGGGGCAGCGGGGGATGGCAGCTGCTGTGGGAAGTGCTGGGACGGGTCAGGAGAGCAGACTCTGGAGGCAGGAGTTTGTCAGGGGAACAGAAGCCCCTGGAAGTCCTCAGGAGTATGCGGGGTGGGCTTTGGCTACCAGAGGAGAGGTGGGCTGTGAAAGCATGAGGCCATCAGGTGACACTGTTGTTTCTGAACACCCACTCTATTATCAAGCTTCTATCCTCAGTGGGGAGGGAAAAGGTAGGGGATCAGCCTCAGGTCAAGGATTTGAGCCAGGAGGTCCAGGGCTGGGGTGAGTGGTCCTGGATGAGTCCCTTCCTCGCTAGGAACCAAAGTGTCTTCAGATTCCTCCTGGCTCTGACATTCAAGTCTCTCGGCCTCCGTCCCTGGGGTTGCTGATCACTTACCCGGCTTCTCACACCTCCTGCCTACCTGGTGGTCACTTCCTCAGAAAGGGGATCTGTTTCCTCCCTCCTGGAACCCATTCAGGGGCAGCAGGTGCCCTCTGTGAGTGTGTGTCTGTGTGTATGTATATAACATTGGGGCAGGGAGAGAGAGAGACAGAGAGAGAGAGAGAGAGAGAGAGAGAGAGAGAGAACACCACTACAGATACTACAAAGAAGAATTTACCAAGCTGGTGTTTCTTTCAAAGTCTTCTTTAAAAAAATCTTTTGCCCTGGAGGGTGATGCACTCAGTTGGAAGCATTGCTCCAAATTCCCACCAAATGGGCATCTGCTGCCACTTTGACACACACACACACACACACACACACACACACACACACACACACACACACACACACTACTGACCTGCTTTCTGCTCCCCAGCACTACAGGGGGCTCTTTGCTCTGCACCAACACCCCCTCTCTGACCTACAAACCCCTGAACCTTTCAAGGCCATGTTCAACATGACCTCCCCTCCACCACCAGCTGTACAATGATTCACTTCCTGACTTGGGTTCACACCTCAGACTGTTATGACAGTGATCACACTCTACCACACTCAGACCTGAAAGGCAGAGACTTCCATATCCCTAGTGCTTGCCACAGAGCCCGCTGTCTACTCGTCCATCAGGCCCTGACTGAGCACCTGCTCTGTGCCAGGCAAAAGGGAAGGAGTGACAAGGGGCACAGCCCTGCCCTCAGGGGTTCCTGCCAGGCTGGGAGGAGTGACAGACACATAGGGCTCTAATGGGTGAGCTGAGTGTGAGAAAGTTGAGGAAGCCAACAGCAGGGAGCACGCTCCAGGTGGACCAGGAGTCCCCAGGGAGAAGGTATTTGAGTTCAGTAGGATTTCACCAGGTGGGAGATGTGGGCATGAGACAGGTCCTCCAAACAGGAGCGCCAGTGTGTGCAAAGGCTGGGAGGTGGGTGGTGCCAGCTCTGAAGCGCTGGTTGGTGCCTGCGGTGACTGGAGGGGCCGTGCTTGGGGAAGAGGATGAGGCCAGTGGGTGGGCGATCTTGAGTCTTCAGTGAGCAAGTGAATGAACAAATGACACCCAGATACCCTTGATCACAAAGCTAATAATCTGGGACTAAGGCCAGACCCCTTCCCTGATCCCATACAGGGGCTCAGCTTGGATTCAGGAGTCTGTGTTGGATCCCAAGGGTTGTCTCCAGAGTGAACTGATCCCAGAATGAACCGGGTGGGCTGGAGAGGGGACAGCCCTGAGCTGGGCTCCAGGGTCCCGGTGGGAAGATTCTTCCAGTTCAGTGGGAAGACTGGCAGGCAGACAGGGGACCTGGGCTCCAGTCCCAGCCCTGCCACTTCCCAGCGGTGTGAGCTTGGGCAGCTGGCTTGGGCTGTCTGATCCTCGTTCCTTGTGTGAAACATGGGTGACTGCTCCTATCAGGATGGTTGTGGGGGTGACTGTGGGAGCACGTCTGAAGGTGCAGGGCCCTAGAAGTGTGTTGAATCTGGAAATTTTGTTGAAGTTCCAAGCTGATGTTACTCTAAGTTCAGAGCTTTGTTGTGGAAGGGCAAGGTAGAGTTGGTGGCCTTAGGCCTCTGAATGTCCCAGGCAGAGTTGGTCACGGGGGCATACTGGGCTCTAGGCTCAGAAGGCTCTGACTTGGAGCTTCGACCTCTGCAGTTGAAATACTTACTGGCTTTCCTCTTTGAACTGTGTTTTATAAGGAGCTTGAGGCCTTGGTTCACACATGTTCTGCCTCCTGCTGCCTTCTCGTCTCCCCCTGGATGGGTTCTTTTATTTATTTTTTTGAGTCAGGGTCTCACTCTGTTGCCCAGGCACAGATCACAATTCACCATAGCCTCAAATTCCTGGGCTCAGGCAATCCTTCTGCCTCAGCCTTCTGAGTAGCTGGGACTATAGGCCCGCCACTATGCCTAGCTAATTTTTTGTTGTGTTTTGTTGAGTTCAAGTCTCACTCTATTGCCCAGGCTGGAGTGCAGTGGCACGCTCACGGTCACCACAGCCTCGACCTGTTGGGGTCAGGTGGTCCTTCCACCTTGGCCTTCCAAGTAGCTGGAACTACAGGCATGTGCCACCACACCTGGCTACTTTTTTGATTTATTGTAGAGATGAGGTCTTGCTAAGTTACCCAGGTTGGTCTTGAACCCATGGGCTCATGCAATCCTCCCATCTCGGCCTCCCAAAGTGCTGGGATTATAGGTGTAAGCCACTGCACCCAGGTATAGTTTTTAAAATTTTTGCATAGACGTGGTCTCACTATGTTCCCCAGGCTGGTCTCGAACCCCTGGGCTCAGGCAATCCTCTTACCTCGGCCTCCCAAAATGCTGGGATGACAGGCATAAGTCACCACACTTGGCCCTGGGTGGGTTCTTGACACATGCCTCCTCCCTCTTTCTTCCCTGGGTTAGCTCCGTCCCCCTCCCTAGGCTAGTTCTGGGTCCCAGTGGAAGTGCTGCCTCCTCCACGCCCAGCCCTCAGTTAGAGTTAGTTACCTCTGCCTTCAGCCGCTCAATCTCAATCTCTCCATCCTCAATCTGCTGCCGGAGCTGCTTGGCCACAGTCTTCTCTGTCTCCACGATCTGCAGAAGGTGCAGGTACTTCTGCATTAGTGCCTCATGCTCCGTGGCCAGGGTTCTGTAGCTGTGGGTTGATGGATGACAGACACAGTGGGTGAGATGCTACCTCTCTGTCTCCTCGCGATCCAACCAGGGCACCGACCAGAAGTGGGTCTTGCCCTGTGCCCCCCTCCCACCACCTGCACTCAGTGGGAGTCCCGGACTCCCAGACTTGGAGCTCAGACCCTCTCAATGGAGGGCTACTATGGGTACAAATGATCTGTCCAGCCCCTTCCCAAATCCATTTCACAGTCTGACCTCTGGTTCCTCCATCTGGTCGGGTTCTGTCTTTCTTACACACATACCCACACACTCCTTCTGGGGCTTTGCACAGGTAGAGCGTCTGCCTGAAACATGCCCCTCCTTTCTTCTTCCCTGGGTTACACTGAGTTAGCTCCATCTCCTTTCCTAGGCTAGTTCTGGGTCTCAGTTGAAATGCCGCCTCCCAGAAGCCTTCCCTATTGCCCCCAGACTGCATGGGGCATTTCTACAGTGCCCCAGGCTTCTATTACCATAGCAGTGGTCACACTGAGGGAGGGCAGGGGCCATGCCTGTGCTGCTTGCTCTGTTTCCCCAGGGCCTGGCACAGTGTCTGGCACTAGGAGGTGCTCAGTGGACGTTTGTTGCATGAACAGATGACAGGGTGGATGCCTGGGCCAGGCACTGCTGGATACACAGAGGAGAGTTAGGCACATAAATTTCACGGTTAAGGGACATCTGAAGAGCCTGTGCAGGACACCTGAAGGTGTGTCACAGGTTGCGAGTGTTGTAAGATTGAGGAGGAGGCTGGCAACAAGGACTTGTCATCAGGGAAGACTTCCTGGAGGAGGAGCCACCTCTCTGGCTCAGGGTTGGAGCCCTCATCATCCCCATTTTCTCTCTTCCCCTTGGCAGTCTGGTGTCTGCCCCTGGAGCCCACAGGGGCTGGAACCCTCCTGGGGTCACCTGCTATCTCCTATTTGCCAAAACGAGGGGACACTTTCTCCTATTTGCCAGAACGAGGGCGTTTTCTGATGTGACCTCTCAGCTACCTTGGGCATGGCGAGTCAATGGGGTGCCAGGTTAGGGAGGCTGGTTTTTGTCACAGACTTGGGAACTGTGACACACAAACTCACTAAACCTCGGTGACTCTTGTGACAACACGAAACAATAACAGCTTCTCTACAAAACCCAGGCTTGAGGTCAGGACCCTGGGAGGCTGCAGGTGGAAACGGCTTTGTGATATGAACGGGGCTGGACCAAGGTGTGGAGGTTGGGGGGGTGCACAGGAGGACAGAAGCCGAACATGTGCTGTAGCCCACATGTGCTGCAGCCACTGAGCTCCTCATGGCGATGCCCACAGGCTCATTGGTCACTGGGCTCCTCACAGCAGTGTCCACATGTACCACAGTCACCAGGGTAGTGACTGTCTTCAGGGAAAGCACTTTTGTAACAGAGTCACGAGTTCTCTCATGCAGCTCCATGTTTACTGGCAGGAAAGGCAGACACACACACGATTGCTACACTGACCTAGGCATCTGGTGACTATTTTCTTTAAATTGTACAAAGCTGACACTTCCAGAAAAATAATAACAGTATTTGTTGCCAATGAAAAAATGGTGTTTTCAAGCAGGAATTGGAATTTTCTAAAATGTGCATCTGGATCCATGAGTTTTTCATACTCAAAGGCTTTCCTGGTGCAACTGTCTCATTTTTTACATGAAAAAACTGAGGCCCAGAGAGGGGAAGTGACTTTACCCAAACAACGGTCAGTTGGGGTCCAAGTTGTAGCTGGCATCAGACACCAGCCCATGACAAGGCATTTTTACACTCAACACGCGCTTGGTATCATACACACACATGCGCGCGCACACGCGCGTACACACACGCCTCATGGAGGCATCCCATGATACTAGAGTATTATACATACAGTGTGAGAGAACATTGTGTCTCTACCTCAGCAGTCCCCAACCTTTTTGGCATCAGAGACTGGTTTCATGGAAGACAATTTTTCTACGGACCCAGGTAGGGGGACAGTTTCGGAATGATTCAAGCTCATAACATTTATTGTGCATTTTATTTCTGTTGTGATTACATTGTAACATATAATGAGATACTTATACAACTTACCATAAAAAAGAGGCGCAGACAGAAGTGATAAATAAAATAATGGGTGGGCAATGCATGGACTAAAATAAGCATTGGATTCTGGCGTAAAGCCTGCCACCAGATGCAGCTATACAACTGAAGTACATCAACTCACTTGCCACTCATGGGCAGGGCTTTGATTTGAGTCTGTAGGCAATTAATTTATTATGGTCTCTGTGTGGTCAAACCTCACTGCTGATGTTAGCCTGTGTTTGCAGCTGCACCCCAGCGCTAGTATTACCGCCTCAGCTCCACCTCAGTTCATCAGGCATGAGATTCTAATAAGGAGCGCACAACCTAGAGCCCTCGCATGTGCAGTTCACAGCAGGGTTCACGCGCCTATAAGAATCTAATGCCGCAGCTGATCTGACAAGAGGTGGAGTCAGGCGGTCATGCGAGTGATGGCGAGTGGCTGTAATGCAGATGAAGCTTTGCTCACTGGCCCACTGCTCACCTCCTGCTGTGTGGCCAGGTTGGTATTGGTCTGTGGCCAGGGGCTTGGGAAGCCCTACTGTACATGATATGATTACACCACAGTGCTTATTTTTGTGTATAGGATGTGTCTATTATGTATATGTAAATAAAAACTAAATTGGAAATTTGTGAAATTGCTTAATACTCAGTATGGTTGTAGAAGAAAGTCATTCTCTTTCTATACACACACACACACACACACACATACACACACACACACACACACACACACACACACACACACACACGATGTGTGAGGCCTGAGGTTAAAAGAAGCCCACAGTTCACAGTGCTCCTCTAGTCACAAGGCCACCTCCTTAGGTAAGAGCATGATGGCTTCTGTTGTCTCAGGCACTGCCCAACGATGCTCAGCTCAGCCAGGATGGCTGATGTTGACTATTCCATGGATGGTGACTCAGTTTCCCTTTTAGCAGCCATCCCTATGCCCTCCATGCAGGCAGAATGGGAGACATTCCTCAGAGACCCGAGGGTTGACCCAGACCCCAGGACTTGACATAGAAGCCAAGCAATCAGCCTGTCCCTTGTCCCATCACCAACTCTCCCCACTCCCACAACCCCTCTTCCAAAAGGCTGATGAATATGAAGAGGGTTTTGTTCAGAGGTAGGTGAGTCAACTTGCCTGAATGCTCCTTTTCTGGGGTGGGCAGGCTCTGTTTCTGTTGAACCTGCATGAGCTGGGAGCTGGGATCCGGGGCCCGGCAACATCCATTTACACTCATATCCTATGTGACATTGGGTCTCACTGTCCACGTCTGTCAAATGGTCTAAAGGGATCTGCTTTCCGGGTTGTTGGGAGGAGCACATGGCACACTGTGTGAGGCAGCTGGACAGATACAGTGGACTGTGCAGCTGGCAGGGGCTCCTCATATGAAGAACGCTCTGTCAGGCTGCAGGAGGCCCAGATGGGCTTGGCAGGATTGATGCCATTTGATTACTATTATTCTACTGACTCCTTAGAGCCGGTCTTCAGTTGGGTGAGTTGCTTGATAAATGGAGGTCCTCTCCTTGGTGGGCAGGATTCCAAGACTCCTGCCTTCCCGGTGTGGATGCCTGCATAACCATCCTGCAGGGTCTCGATCCCTGTTACTGGGTTGTGTCAGTATGGCACAGTTGACCTTAAGACAGGGAGAATGGTCTAGGTAGGTGTGACCCAGTTTTGGGAACCTTTTATTTTTATTTATTTATCTATTTATTTTTAGAGACATGGTCTTACTCTGTTGCCCAGGCTGAAGTGCAGTGGCTCTATCAGAGCTTACGGCAGCCTCGACCTCCTGGGCTCAGGTGATCTTTCCACTTCAGTCTCCCAAGCGGCCACAACTAAAGGTTTGCACCACCATGCCTGGCTAATTTTTAAAAACTCTTTTGTCTTGCTTTGTTGCCCAGGCAGTCTTGAACTTCTGGCCTTAAGCGATCCTCCCACCTTGGCCTCCCAAAGTGCTGGGATTATAGGTGTTAGCCACTGTGCCTGGTCTCATGAGCCTTTGAGAATGGAAAGCTTTTTCTGCTGGCTGTGGAAGGTGCAGTGAGAAATCTGAGGCTAGAGAGTTGCTGGCTTGGGGAAGGAGGCCACGTGACAAGGACAGGGCAGCCCTAGAGCTGAAAGCTGCCCTCTGAAAGCCAGCAAGGGAACAGGGACTTCAGTCCCTCCGCCACAAGGAACTGGATCTTGCCAGCATTAAGAATGAGCCTGGAAGTGGATTCTTCCCCAGAGACTCCAGAGAAAAGCCCAGCCCCACTCTACTGACTCCTTGATTTTAGCCTGAGACCCTGGACAGAGAGAGACTTCAACCGTACTCAGACTTCCGACCCAAAGAACTGGGAGGAAACAAAAATGGGTGTTGTTTCAAGCTGCCAAATGGGTGGTAATTTCTTAAGCAGCCACAGACAATTAAAACATTTTCTCTAAAATAAATACATATAGTGTTCATTTAAGAAAAAATCTAAGGAATGACTGGATGTGGCTCATGTCTATAATCTCAGCACTTTGGGAGGCTAAGGCGAGGGGCTTCCTTGAGCCCAGAAGTTTGAGACCAGCCTAGGCAACATAGAGGGCCTCGTCCCTACCAAAAAAAAAAAATTAATTAGCCAAGTATGGTGGCACACATCCATAGTCCCAGCTACTCAGGAGGCTGAGGTGGAAGCATAGTCTGAGCCCAGGAGGTTGAGGCTGTGGTGAGTTGTGATTGTGTCACTGAACTCTAGCGTGGGAGACAGAGTGAGACTCAGACTCAAATCCCCCCACCCAAAAACAGACAAACAAAAAATACTGAGGTTTAATGTGCGTATCTTGGAAAGCCCAGGCCTTAAGGGCATAGTATGATCAGTTTTGATAAAGGCATACATTCTTGTCCAGAGAAAGAAAATTTCTATCAACCCAGGAAGTTCCCTCGTTCCCCTTCCCTGCCAGTCACCACCCCAGGAGCAACTGCTATCCTGATTTCTACCACCAGAGGTGAATTTTGACTGTTTGAAAATTTCACGTAACTGGAATCAAATAGCATGTACTACTTTGTGTTTGGCTCTTCACTCAGCAAACTGATTTTGAGATTCATCCATCTTGTGGTACACATTTGTGGGTGAATCTCTGTCATTGTCGAACAGTATTCCATGGCACGGAGGTGCCAAGGACAGTTTACACATTCGCCTGTTGATGGACACCTTGGCTCTTTCTAGTTTTGGGGGTACTGCACATGAACCTGCTGAGGATACTTGCATACGAGACATTTTGTGGATATTTTTCATTTCTCTTGGGTAAATACCAAGAAGTGGAATTGCAAAGTCACAGAGTAGATGTATGTTTAACTTTTTAAACAACTGCCTAAAATTTTCCAAAGTGATTGTGCCGTTTTGTATTTCTGCTGGCCCCGTATGAGGGCTGGGTTTATTCCTCCCTCTCCAACTTTTGATGTTGTCAATGTTTAGCATTTTAGCCTTTCTACTGTATAGATATTGGCATTTCATTGTCTCTAAAAGCTTTTTGTATTAATGGATTTTTTAAATCCATTAGTTCTGGTTATCAGAATGTATAAGTTAGGATTCTAAGGTGCTTTAACACTTACAAAGGCCCTTCACATAAGATTTCATCTGGTCCTCAGACAACCCTGCTATTGATTCTGCTTTAGTGCTGGGGAGACTGAAGTTAGTTGATCTCCCAGAATCTGGGTTCTTCCTAACTCAATTCCACCCTCCACAATGCCAGCAATTCCCAATCCAAATCCAAGTTGCTTTCCTGATGTAAAACCCTCAATGGCTCCCTACAGTTCACAGAGGAAAGTCAAACATCTCAGCTGGGGATTCAAGACCAGTTATGGTTTGGTTCCAGCCCACCGTCCAATCTCATCTACTTTCTGACACCCCAAATTTGTCTCTTACTTGTTCTTGGAATTCTCCTTCCTGGGTCAGTGTCTTTATTGAAAGCTTTGTTTGGAGTAGTAGTGTTGAAATGTTTATATCTAAACCCATTATGTCTGTCCCTCCAACCCCCCTACTCAGGTCAAATGTTACCCTATTTCTACTTCCCCGGATTCTCCCATTTCCCTGCAGATGGAAGTCATGTTTCTCTCTCATGGTGCTTAACAGCCTTCACGCATCAGAGTTATTTGTGCATATGTCTCCTGTCTCCCTGACTAGACTGTGATGTCCCTGGGGGAATACGTGTATTGCATCTCTGTCTCCCAGCACTGTGTACAGGGCCTAACTCTATTAGCTCATAAGTGACAATTTGGTCTCCATAGCTAGAACGGACACTCCTTGAGGACAGAAATGATGGTCTGATCTCAGGGCCCTGGTCATTGCTATGGTCATCACAGGGATTTCTGGCTAGCCTGATTCAAGGCTCAAGGAAGGGCCCTGGGATCCAACCATCTACCCGTATCCATCCATCCATCCATCCATCCATCCATCCATCCATCCATCCATCCATCCATCCATTCGTCTGTCCGTCCGTTCGTCCATCCCTCCATCCTCCACATATCTATCCAACTCTCATCTGCTCATCATCCATCTGTCCTTCATTCTTCCATTATTCATCTTTTACATACAAACTCAACATCCAGCTTTATCCATCTTCCTTGCTTCCATCCAACCTGCCTGCCCGCCCATCTTTCTTCTTTCCTCCCTTCCTCCCTTCCTTCTTTCCTTCCAACCTGCCTGCCTTCCGCGCAGCTTTCTTTCCTTCCACACATCCATCCTTCCTCCCTCCCTCTCTTCCTTCCATCTATCCTTCCTCCCTTCCCTCCAACCATCCGTCCGTCCGTCCATCCATTCATCCATCCTTTCATGCTCTCTTCCTTCCATTCCTTCCTTCCAGCCTGCCTTCCGTCTTTCCTTCCCTCCTTCTCTCCTTCCCTCCTTTCTTTTCTTCCCCTCCTCCCTCCTCCCTCCATCCCTCCCTCCCTCCCTTCCTTTCTTCTTTTCATCCATCCATCTTTGTATTCTTTCAACCCATATTTCCTGGGCACCCTGTCTATTTCCTTTATCAGGCCCTGGGATTGCAAAGAATCACATGTGGTTCCTGCCTTCAGGAGCTTGCATTTTATAGGAGGTAGACACAGAAACACGCCATCATCCACTAAGCCAGAAAGGTCTTCTTTCTGGAAGGGTGGGTATGGTTGTTGCTGCCCCCGATGGTGTTCAGCTCTGCCAGGGGATTGTCAACTCTGGGGCCACATCCCAGCCCACAAAACCATTGTTTTCCTAGGACTCCAAAAGGACTCAGATCGCCTTGGAGTGCCCCCTTTCCCTGTGGCATACACTGTCCTTTGGCGTTTCTCCCTACCTGACCCAGTGAGTCCCGCTCCAGAGAGGGACACTTACTGGGAATGAGGACAGGAGCAGGTCTAGACTCCTCAAAGGGTCAAAGTTCAGAGAGGTTTAGGGAATTTCGGTCTCTAGATGAGAAAACTGAGGTCCAGAGGGAAGAGGGAAGCCCCCCTCTTCCTTCCTTCCTTCCTTCCATTCTCCCTTCCATCCTCCATCAAAGGAGTAGCTGCATCCAGGTCAGAACCCTGGAGGCCTTAGGCTTGGGTAGCCATAAGACCCTTAAATCCAGTCAAATCATACTCAGTTCCCCTGATACCCAAAGGGGAACGGCTCTGGTGGGTGCAGGGCAGGAGGCTGCAGTGCTCACAGTCCCTGGCCCCCATGTTCCCCAGAAAGGCACATTCCAGGGTGCAGGTCCAAGAGGTGGACCCTGCCAATAGGTGCTTCTGGCAGCCTTTGTTTTCCCCTCTTCTCCTCCTTTTTTATACCCTCCTCTTCCTGGGGCTTGGGTTTGCTCAAGAACAGGGCCTTTGAGTTCCGTTTCTTATGCCTGAACTGTGAGGTGGGGGCTACCTGCCCAGGATGGGAAGACATACCTGGCATGCGCGATGGCTGCTACCCACTCATCACAATCTTTTGCGTCCTCTGTCCTCAGCTCCAAGGCTTTCTGGTTCTCATGGCTGAAGTTCACGGTGAAGTAATGCTGCACCAAGAAGAAGACATCTGTTACCAGGATGTCCACAGAACTGGCAGCAACTCCAGCGATCCCATTCTCTTTTGCAAAATGCTTGCTGCCACACCAGCTAGCCACAGATGAGGTATCTGTGACTGTCAGAATGCCATTCTATAGGGCAGTTTCCAATTCTTGATGAAAAGACGCTTTTGTATGATGCCATCAAACCTGTGCTTAGGATATTGTAAGAAGGATGTAAAACCCTCGAAGCCCTGTTTGCCAACAAAAGCTCCAAAAAGCCAGTTTTAAATCATCAGGCTCACTGGAGGGAAGGCAAGGATAACACAGAGAATATCCCCTTCGGGAGTTGGGTACCAATTCACTGCTGCATGCATCTAATTCACTCCACAAAGATGGGCTAAGCACTCTCCTAGGTCCTAGGGTTACGGCAATGAGGACACAGACGCAGGTCCCTATGAGAGCCCTCTAGAAGCCACCTCCATGGTGCAGGTGGCTGACTTAGTGCTGAAGTACCAGGGAAGCGGAGGAGCCAGACAATAGACACCCATGTGCACATTGTTACCTGAGTTAAATGCACGTAAAGCACTTGGAACAACACCTGGTGTCTGGTGAGCACCGTGTGTTTGCTCTAATGCGCGCAGTGCGATCACCACTGTAATGGAGGTGAACACAAATGGCTGTGGGGCCCAGAGAAAGCCACCCACTGATTTAGCCCCGAGAAATCAGGAGGGCTTCGGGGTGGGGGAGGGTGGGCATTGGTCCTGGTTTTATTTCAGCTGGATGGAAGAGTGCGGGGGGCAGCCGGGTGACCAGAGCTCACAGCATGTTTGGGATAGGGTGGGGCAGTGAAGTGTGGCCAGTGCAGAGGAGGAGGGATGCACGGGGAAGGTGAGCAGGGGCCTGGGGAGTGGGGAGCTGGGAGGAGGGAACATGGGAGAAGGACAATCCCTAGGTTTCTGGTTTGAGCAAAGGGTGTATGTATGGGGGGTGGGCATTGGCAGGATGAAGGGCAGGATTTCAGGGGTCAGGGTTGGGTGGGGGCTGGACGTACAGGCTGTGAGGGCTGGGGGCTCTGAGGGGCCAGCTCCATGTGGAGGCAGATCCACCAGAGAGAGGGTGGACTCGCAAAGCGCTGGGGCTAGACCTGGGCCTGGTGGAGGTGGCAGGAGGGAAGCAGGGGTGGGTGCAGAGAGGGGCCCGCAGGCCTGCCATTCAGAGGATGCACCATCGGCCAGCTGTGGGTGGCACTGTGCCAGGAGGGTGCCAGTCCCTTCAACCCTTGGTGTCCAGGTGGCGGAAGCCACAGCACAAGGTGCAATGTGTAAACTAATTTTAGCTTCTGCTGACATTTACTGCGGTTCTGTTAATTCTCAGTGTAGAGGGGTGTGTGTGTGGGTGGGGGGGAGAGAGAAACAGATAGAGGGAGAGAGGGAAGGAGAGAGGGAGAAAGAGAGGGGGAGAGGGGGAGAAGGGGTAGGGGGGAGAGAGGGTGAGAGGGAGGAAGACAGAGATGGAGGGGGAGAGAGAGGGCAGGAGAGAGAGAGAGAGGAAGAGAGGGAGGGGAGAGAAGAAGGAAGGGAGGGAAAGAGGGGCCTGAGAGGGGAGAGAGGAAGGGGGAAAGTGAGAGGGAGAGGGAGGAAGATAAAGAAGGTGAGAGAGAGGGAAAGAGAGAAAGGAAGAGAGAGGGGAAGAGAGGGAGGAAGATGAGAAGGAGGAAGAGAAAGGGGGAGAAAGAGAGAAGGGAAGAGAAGAAGAGGGAGGGAGAGAAGGGGAGGGAGGAAGAGGGAGAGGGAGGGAGAGAGGGGGAAGATGAGAGAGGAAGAGAGGAAGGGACAGAGGGAGGGGAATAAGAGAGGGAGGAAGAGAGAGGGAGGGAAGGGGGAAGATGAGGAGGGAGAGAGGGAGAGAGAGAAGGAGGGCGAAGGGGAAGGCAGGAGAGAGGAAAGGAGGGAAGGAGAGGGAGGGAGAGGGAGGGCAAGGAGGAGGAAGAGAGGTTGGGAGGGAGGAGGGAGAGAGGGAGGGAAAGAGTCACTGTCTCTCGCTGGTTTCCTAGGAAACAGATAACTGGAGCTATAGAATGAAATGTCAGCTACAGCCTCAAATGACTGAGTAGGGAAGGCTCCGTGGGCACCCCCTTGGGGGGGCGGGGAGGAAACAGGCTCCACACCGAGCGGCAGTGGCTACCTAGGGCTTTTCTCATCTCTGAAAGGATGAACGCCCTAATGTCTCGCCATGGTCTCATTTATTCCCACATTCCCCGAGTGGACGTATTATCTCTTTAAAGGCTGGTGAAGCTGGAGCTCAGAGAAGTCAAACCACTTGCCTAAGGCCACACAGTTGGACGGCAGCAGAGCCAGGATACACACCATCATTGGACACCTACTGTCCACTTGGGCTCCGGGGCTTGGCACTGGGAGGCAAAGATGCAAAGGCAAGGTGCCCACCCCAAGAAGCCTGTAGGCGGGTGACTCTCAGGCGCCCAGGTCAGACACAGGCACAGAGTGGGATGGACCCACTGGTGGGACAGGGGCAGGAATGTCTCCTTCCCTATTGGGCTGTGGGACTCTGAGCTGCTCACCCTGGGAGGGGCTGGGGGGGGTGGAGGCCTGAGTCTGGCCCATCAGAGCTGATGAACCTGGCTGGGGCCTCGCGCCCCTCACAGAGGCTTCTTCTCAGTCAGCCCTGCCTAGTGGAGGCAGAGGGATACCTGCCACCCTCATGGACGACGGTCCCCGGCAGCTTCACTCCTGCTGGAAACCAACCGGTGAGGAAGGAAGCCAGGAAGACCTTTCTGGCCTGAACCGGGCGATGAACAACCCTGGGCTTCTGGCAGATGGTGGCGCCCACCCCTCTGCCCTTCAGATCAGGGTCCCTGGAGGCTGCGGGGAGCTTGCCTCAGGCCACCCAGAGGCTTTCTCCATCTCCCCTCCTGTCATCCCCACTAGTTGCTAGTCCATCCGTCCGTCCACCTCACCTCTGTGTGACCTTGCTCTAACTCCATCACCACTGCCCGAGGTTAGACCCCATAGCCTCTCTCCTGGACTACGGCCACAGTCTCTTGCACTTGTTGTTCTTCTAGGAGACACAAGTCAGATACCCCCTAAGGGATCAAAGTTCAGATGAAGTGGTCAGCAGGCGGACAGGGGGGGCATGGAGGCCGGCATGACTCAGAAACTTCCGTGTCCTGCATGACAATTAGGCTCCAGTGCCAGGGCTGGGTCTAGAAATGTCTAGGGCAGCTTCCAGGTCTGGGCCAGAAGGCCTGTGGTTCAGGCCTCAGCCTCAAAGTGAAGGGGAAACTGAAGGCCCAGCTGTGCCCCAGGCCTGGTGCTGGGTTCTTTTTTTTTTTTTGTTTTTTTGAGTTGG